TCAAGTCAATCTCCCCCACAAAACCCTTAAGAACACCCTATATAAAACAACGTAAGGAGATAACGATGAAGGCCTAGATGTCTATCCCAATTAGGATTCACATTAATTTAACAAAAACAAAATAAAGAAAAGAGAAAACTAATATACGAAATAAACTTGTAGCTTGTCACTCAAGTAAAGCCCACTAACGATGATTGACAAACAAAGCCCATGCGCTGCATCAGAAAGTGAGAAATTCTAGACTTTTAATTTGGATCGATACTTCACTTATCACATGTCACAAATTGGTAAAATATGATTATGCAAGAAACCAATATCATTTTCGGTTATAGAGACTAGAAACATTCTTTTTGCACCTTGTTTCCTATCTTTACAACATATAATATCAGCCGGTCCTACTAATGTAGAGCCAAAAGCAAAGTAGTAGAATGTGATCACTGATCTCTAGTTGCTCAATTTAAAAATAGGTGATTTTGAAAAATACCTTAAAATTTAATGGAAATTTAAAAAGTATATTTGATCTTGTAAAATTGGAAAAATATACCTTTTTATTACGTAAAAGTACGTAAATACCTTTATACATATTTAACATGCTAAATAATTTAAGAATAGTTGAAAATTATTAAATTTAAATTCYAAATTTAGTTTTGTATTTACTTTTAATTTTTAAAAATATTTCGTTAGTAAATTAATATCTAAAAGCTAAATTTTTTATTAAATAAAAATAAAGATTGACTTATTTTTATACAGTCGGTTTATATTTTGGCTCGTTGATTTTTTACTTTGTTGATTTATTTATACAGTTGATTTATTGTTTTTATGTTCGTCAACTTATTTTAAAATGTTGACTTATATTTTGTTTGATTGATTTTTTATTTTGTCGACTTGTTTAACCATTAACTTTTTTTTTTATTTTTGTCGATTTAATATTGAGCTTCATCGACTTATTTTAAACAGTTGACTTATATTATCGTTTGATTGATTTTTTACTTTGTCGACTTATTTAACCATTGACTTATTTTGTTTTTGTCGACTTAATATTCAACTTCATCGAGTTATTTTAAACTGTTGACATATATTATCGTTTGATTGATTTTTTACTTTGTCGACTTATTTAACCATTGACTTAATTTTCAGTTTTGTCGACTTGATTTTTAGTTTCGTCGACTTATTTTAAACTGTTGACTTATATTTCTTTTGATTGACATTTTAAGTTATCTACTTATTTAAACCATTGACTTATTTTTTTTAATTCGTCGACTTAAATTTTTTTCTCATCGATTTATTTTAAACCATCGATTTATATTTTGATTGATTGACTTTTTACCTTMTCGACTTATTTAAACCATTGATTTAATTATTTGTTCATCGATTTGACATATTATTATATAAATT